CCTGTTGCAGCTTCCTTAGCGAAGCCAGGCCGTTTCTGTGTGTGCAGATTGCAGTGATAGCTGTTTAGGCAATGCTGCGTGCGGTGCAAACCACAGTGGGGATCATTTGCCTCACATCTCCATCCTCGTTAATGCCTCGTATCTGTGTTTTTGGTTTGGATCGCAGACAGCGATACACCAAATCAGAGTGCAGAGGGAGAGGCTGCTGCGCTCGTCTCTGCAGCTCTGAGACGGGGCAGGGCAGTGATTTAGTCGCAGAGAGAGGACGGTGTTAACCTGTTACTGGTGGTGTGAGCGGCTTCCTTGAGTATTCACCTCTTTTGCTCCTGATCCAAATGAAGTAGATGAGGTTTGCCGTGTCAGTTTGAAGAGTGGCGGAAGCAGAGGCTGGATGCTCCGCTGCGAGAGCTGCGGGAGAGGAGGACGCTTCGGCGCCCGCGCTGCTCCCTGCCTTCGCCGGCCGCTGCGCGAGCGGTGCCGTGAGATGTGCGAGGCTCTGGCCCCAAAGCGTTACTACCGAGAACCCCATTTTAATTAGCTTTGATGGCCGCATCTTTATGTGTTTCGTCATGTTGTTAGCCTGACTTGCCACGGGGAAGTGATTTCTTCTACAACTGTGTGTTGGGTGGTTTTTTTGTTGTTTTTTTTTGTTGTTTTAGTATCTTCTCAAACATCAGCAGCCTGAGCTCCATCCGTAGCACGTACACCCACAGACTCTTGGCAGAGATCTCGATGGGTTTTTGCTTTGCTTTTAAGGACGGTTCACAGCCTTTATTGATCTGTTATTAATTCTCTGGGATATCTACTGGCGCTGCAGTGTAGCTGGACTGTAGCAGCTTCCTGACTTTTCAGGAAGACACGGCAGTTTAAACACTTACGGATTAAAAAAAATCAGTTGCTTCTTATGAGAGTTTATATTTGATGTTGTGACTAATGCTAAAGGTTTTGAGTAGCTTTTGTGGACTGTACTTGCAGAGCACCATCAGTTCTTGGATCAGATCCGTGACAGAAGTTTTTGCAGCTAGCTTTGGGATGCTTTTCGGGAGCGCAGCACCTTTCAGCAGCAACCTGAGCTTATATTGGACCACGCGGCGCAACTAGAAAAGGATTGATAACAAATTTCCTAAGTTAGTGACCAGAAAAATAGGCCTCTGGCTCCCTTTGAGTTACGTGCAGCATCCCCTGGAGGGGAGGAGGAGGTGGCTCATAGATGGGAATTCACTAGCAGATGGAAAAATGAGAGCTCCAAACTCGCTGCCTGTTTAAATGCATAGACTGGGGAATTGGGAGCAGAAGACAAAGGCTTGTGAAGCCAGGGCTGCCCCATAGGAGGCAAAGAGCGCGCTGGATTAAAGTCGAAAAGAAATGGCAATGTTTTGGGAGATCTAGCAAAAGTACTAGCCCCAAATGGTGGGGTGGGGATGAATCGGGGTTCGTTGTGTTACTCCCTCATCTGCTACAGGTAGTAAATGAGTTTGTAGGCAAAGAGCCTCAA